TCCTGGGAAGGCTGAGTTACTTAAATTACGTATTTTTCAGTGTAAGTAGTCTGGCTCGTGTAGTTTGAGAGGATAACTAGGAAAGCATATGCATCTGTAACATTCCCTTAATTAAGCAGCCTCAATTCTTCTTTTTGTTTAGTTTAGTTTAGTTATGGGGTTTTTAAGGTCAGATTTTTCTAGGCCTCCATTTTGTCCCAGGTTTCTGTCCCCGCAGCCAGCAATCCCTGCTGGCTCCCCACGCACGCTCACACTCTTGGGTCCCGGAATCATCCGAGGACATGGTTACGTGGCCAAGTGAAGAGGAGCTGAGCAGGGGACAGCCAGGCTGTGACACAGAGCGGCTGTACCGTCTCACGGTGTGCCGGCACTTGGCCGCGGGCAGGGCAGCTCGCTCCACAGGGCACCGGCGTGCATTCAGGGCCGGGCGGGCAGACCCTCTTTGCTGGAGGCAGCGAGCTACTGCGGAGATGAGGTTCCTTCCTGTCCTCTTGGGGTACCGCAGAGGTCCAAACACCTCTGGGTGTTTGGAGCTAACGGGGAGTTGGAGCTAACGCGGGTAACTGGGTGGGGGGTTTAGGCTGTTCAAGGGAAAGACCCTTACAACCCCGCTCTCTCCCTTCTGACATTTCAGAAAGTGATCTGGGCTGAAAAATTCATTCTCTGTTACACACCTGTCCTTTGTTCTAAAAATACAAAAACTCCTCCTAAAACATCTTTTCCTTCTCACCATTGCCTCTTCTCAGTGTATCGTATCACTCCAGGAATGTCTCCTTGTGCTCTTTCCTAGGGATCCACCCGGCTTTCTTTGTCCTGCTCTGCATCGCTCTGGTTTCAGTGATGCTAGGACTGGTGCTGTACACGACCTTTCGAAGTAACACACAACAGAAAGATCTCGTGGAGGTATTTGGTGACTCTTACTTTGAGCTGAGACAGTCATTAGGTACCTTTCGGCCATGTGGCTTCTTTAACTCCCGGGCAAACAGAGCAGGAGGGAGCATTTCCCTGGTATGTCTGATCCGTTCCACGGAAAAATCCAAACAGTGTAGGCAGACACTACGCAACGGGCATGCTTCTGGCCAGCGGTGGAGAGCTCTTTGCCAGGGCTAGCAGGGGCCGTTTGTTAACACTCCCAAGCAGGTGCTTACATTGAAGTATCCCTTCTGGAGGATCCACCTCAGAGCGGTTACACGGAAGAAAGCAGGGGGATAGTGGGAGAGGATAGAGGATAGTAAAAAAGGGTGGGTGTGTTACCTGAAGTGGCACTCAATTGCCACTAACCCTAGCATGTGACCTTTATCTGCCCAGCTGCCTTCCATCTCTGGTGTAGCTTTCACCAGCTACATTACCGTGCTCGTAATAAGCATGAGCTGCTCAATGAAAGGCAGCTCTCTTGGCCCTTTGGAAGGTACCTAACACACTTCACATCATGCCACAATATGAATAATACGCCTCTAGAGAGACTGCCTGTGTGCCAGATGTGAAGCGGGTGTCTATGAGAAGTCTGTCTGAAACTGGTGACGGCCTGAAACTGGTTGTGGACCAAGTGCCATTTCTGGCCCCAAGCGCCCGTGTTGGACTCACTGGAGCCAGGAGGACCTGAATTAAAAATGATTTCTTTGATGTTCCTTTTCCAGGTAGCGGACTTCGACTTTTCTCCACTGTCTGATAAAAACCTGTCTTCTCATCCGGAGTCAGGCTGTGGCCAAGTGTGTTGCAGATCATGTTTTCTTCGGTCATCTCAAGAAGCTGCCAGGGAGAGTCATGAACTTCTACATTCTTTTTACAAGCCAGTCAAAACGTACACAGTGTGAAGAACACAATTGCACTTTGGTTGCACTAACTGCCCGGTTTGTCACTTATGATGAGTTAAAAGCCCAGTGCTGCATGAACGCTTTGGTTCTGCCGATGCAATGAGGTTAACCACTTTAAGTCCAGCACTTGAGCGTTTCATTCTCTGAACTTAAAAAAAAGCAAGCCCTGAAACACAGTAAAAGTAGCTTTGTATTTTTAAATTATACGGGTGTATAGGGTTACAGCTGTAAATGCAGCATTTTATTCTTATGAAAGATTGTTTTATGTGCAGGTTTGCTCAACTCACTACCTCTTGTAATTTCTCTGTTCCTTCTGCTGTCTGTTTCAAAGAAGAAAATGCTTAAGACAAACATACCTCTCTTTCCTATGCTACAACAATATTGCTGTAAATGGAAGTCACCCAGAATGCTGTTGAATGTGTATTTGTTCTAAAAAGGAACTGACTTGTCCAGGTTGAAAAAGGCCTCGGTGCTTCCAGTGAACCAGACCACCTAACTACATTGTCTTTTTCCCTCCTGTCTTAAAAGACCCCCTTTTTAAGCTAACGGACTTCTGTGGGACTGCGGTGGCTGGTGCCCTGCTCATGGAGAGCCCGCTGCTGGCGGTAGTTTGGTGGGACGGCAGCACGCGCTGCAGAAGACTCCACATCTCCAGCATTTCCTGAAGCAGTACACCACTCTCATCTGCAGAAGTAGCCTTTTTTTCCCCCGAGCTGTTCTTTTCTTTCTTATATTACTACCCAGCTAGTCACCGAAGCTCCTCTTCCAAAAAAAAGGCAACAATCGGTAGCTCAAAGTTGCTCAGCAAAACATATTAAATCCATAGTCAGTGTTGAAGGCTGAATAAACCCCGTGCCCGCTGCAGACTATCTGCTCTCGGCCCCCCGCCACCAGCGCTTCTGGGTACCCCGGAGGGATGATTTTAAACAAAAGTGCCTTTGTGGCCATTTTGGTTTTAAACTGTGACACACCTTTCCCCTCGCCTCTGATTTAAAGCCTCTGGGCATTTGGGGCTTGGGGTTTTCAAGTATGTCATAATTTCTCAAATGCACCGATTGGGAGATGATTGTCTGAATGTGAGGGGATTTACCATGAGGGTTTCGGGGTGCTCATCTCACACCCTCAAATTCTACGCTTCCTGCAGTTTGTCTGTGAACAAACTTACATGACCTCAGAATGGCTTTGTTAATTAGCTCGATGCATTCCAAATAGAATAGGATCATCTAAGATAACAAATGATCCAGTAAAACCAAATTTTTGACAAGAGGTACTTTCCAAGGCAGAACTTACTTTTGGCTTTTTTTCTAAAGAGAAACTGTATTTGTAAGCGAGCTTGTTGATTAGGAGTGGTGCCCTCTGCATTCCTTCTCAGCGCCCTGGTGTCAAACTCTTATCTTCAGTCATGTTCAGTCACTGTTAAAAATGTGCCTCTCCTTAGAATAGCAAAGAAGCGATTGTTCTCGAGAGCCGCAGCTTTATTGCTTGTTGCTGAGATCCCAACCATCTGAGCCACTGCCAAAGGTACACCACTTCTCCTGGCGTGTCAGTGTGCTCTGTAAATGGCTACATGGCTCTTGGGCACTGGAAATAACAGATTTTTGATGTGAAAAATGCAACTCGGAGTGGTGGTGGCCCTAGACAGACTGCACAGAGCCTCTCTGCAGCCAGAAGTTTAGTCTGGGCTGCTTCTTCTCTTGCGCTTGTGACAGACGTGACCCTTGCTACTATAACACACCTAAAGACAACCCCTTGGCACACTAACGCACATGTAAAAAGCCCTTTCTTCTCCATATCGCACTCCTAGCAAAGACAATAACGATGAGGGAGCAGACTCAGTTATAGGTACGGGAAACGGGGGTCATTTGGGTCAGAAGAAGGTCATACCAAAGGAGCCGTTACCATTAACACCCACCTCATTCAAAGGGTATCATGGGGCGTTCTGTGCCCCCGTGCTCTCCCCAGTGCGCCCGAGCTGAGATACGACCGATTGTGCCGAACCCAGCTAAAGTGGGTGTCAGCCCCCGGTCAAAAAAAGAGCGACATGAGGTTAGTGATATGAAAGACCGGGCTAAGAAAATCCCCAATGTCCTACGGAGGAAAACAGAGTAAGTGTCCTTCAGAAGAATATTGGCTCCCATTGTCTTCCTAAAATGAACAAAAGATGGCAAAGGAGTCAAATGATTCTGAAAGGTAGAAAAGATAAAGTGCTGCAAAGTGGAAAGTCAACACTACCAAATCGTGGAAGATCTTATTCAAGAACAGAGGTTAGAAAGACATCTCTTGCAAAAAAATAGAGCAGTGGAGAAAGTACACTTAAAAGGGCATGTCAAGAAGCAAATTAACCAAGAAAATTTAAACAACCTTAACAAATTGAGGTGTAAGTATGAGAAATATTCACACGAACATGTTCCTGATTCCAATATGAAACTGCTTCCTGCACAAAAGACTGATCTGTGGGTTCAATAAATGCCTCTGAAATTGAAGACAAAAGGTCACTGAGCGGTTGAGGATATAGCAGGGAGATTACTGGGACGTAACAAGGATCAGCAGGAGGATTCATTTTGTTAACCTTAGAAACCAATGACCTGGAAAAAGGAATGTTCAGCAAAACGATGAAACTCACTGATTCAAAACAAGAGTCCAGTGAGCGCAAAGCCAAAGAGCGATTCAGTTCAGGTGATAAGCAAGAGCGTGAGCCGATAAAAAGTTTATGCAATAGGAATTAATTACAAGGAAATGCATTTGAGGACAAAAGTGTTCTGGAAAGGCATAGTATAAAAACACACGGTAAAGCAAAAGAACTTCTGTTACTCTGTCATTTATCATATAAACACTGGTACCGGTTTCTGCAGTAGCCGTGGGGACAAATTAACCCTTTATCTTAACAGCAGAGCGTAAGGCTCAGCGGCTGAACGGGTCAAGGCTGAGTTCTGTCTTTCATCGCTGGAAAGCAGATTGCACAGCCCCAGCTGCCACAACTGCCGGAATTTGGAAGACCTCCGCTGCGTGTGCTGGAGGAATGGAAATAGTTGCAGCAAGAGGAAGGTGAAGAACTTCATATTTAAATGCTCAGCATTATTATTAGATAATCAGCCAACACTTCACCTTGATTTTGGAGAGCCAGTGCCGGTTTCTGTGGAAACGGAAGCGCCATCCTGCAGCTGTCACAAAATTGTTTCAATCCTGCAGATCTCAGCTTTGACAGCCCACTGAGCACTACAAATGTGGATTTTTAAATAGCAGCCACAAAGATGGGGAACGCAGAAGTTCCAGAAACTTCTTGGGCCTCATCTGTCAGAGCTGGGTATGCTCACCGCCCGCGTGCGTAATTCCTACAGCAGCGTGCGTAAGGACAGCAGCTGCAGTATACGGCGGCTTTTGTACAAAATATCACAATTGCACAACAACGGACACAACTGCAAGAGCAAATTGTACCAGAGCACTAGTGAAATACTTCTCTGGTCCCACAACTACCCCAGGCAAATACATTTCTAGTGCATTTACTCGCAGCAGTCCTGGGAGGCAGAGACTCGCTATTCTCACTGTGACCGGAGGCAAAGGGAGCCCTACAGGGGTGCGGAGCTGCCCGAGCGCCGGGGCAGCTGTGGGTGCCTGCATAAAATTCAACATTAGAAAGACTAAGGCACCGTGCAGACCCTCTGCCTCATCTCGGTTCTTTTCACGGCCCGTGGGGCGAGGTGCGCACCATGTTCAGGTTGCCCCGCACGGACCCCCGCGCGCCTCTCCCGCCCGCCCGCTGCGGCTGCTCCGGGAGCGCTCGGCAGATGTCCCCCGACGCGCGGGAACGCCGCACAGCCGAGCGCTCCGCCGTGGCAGCCCGCAGCCACCGGAGACTTCAGCCAATGTTTTAAGGCACGCCTCGCTGTGGCACGTAAGCTAAATGCACAACCAGATTTGTCTGAAGATGCATATTATTCACAAGCCAAGTGCGGTGGCAGGGGCACAGCCACGCAGCCGCGGGAAGCGACATCCTGTGGATCCCTACACACGGAAACACTCGTCCCGCGCCGGCTGAGTCCCGTGTCTCGCGTGGAAGGCGATGGACAGGCAGCCGGAGCACGCTGCGCAGACAGTGTCACTCCTGGAAGAGAGCGTTCGGCACTTCATTCGTGGCCACGGCACACCACCGCCCCGCTCCACCGTCCCCGGCGCCCGCGGGACACCCGCCTGCTGCTGGGACCGGGCCCAGTCCTGTGCGCGACAGCAACGGAACTGTCCTTAAAGGGGAGTCAGCGTGGAGTGTCAATCTACAATTACTTAAATTAGGGAATATGAAGAAGAAAGCAGTCCACAGTACAAAACAGATTCTATGCGCGCACAGCTGAGTGTTAACGTTTCTTGAAATCCCCTGGAGGGGGAATGTCATCCCCACGGCTTCAGCGGAGGCTCTGGGAAACAGCGAAGCAGAAGCAGCAGCAAACAGGCACGTTCTGCTTTAATAGCTCTATAAGCTCAGTCCTTCCTGGTAATAGAAATCAGGACTCTCTCATTTAAAGCTTCTTTTCAGCTACAATTTAGATACAAAATGAGAACAGACCACAGCAATAAAAGCTCTCTTATGTGATCACCAGCATGTACTTAATAGCAAAAAAAAATTATGCCATAGGTTTTTAATGTCCTTTCAGGTTCCTGTCCTTAATCTAGTCTTCTTTCATTATATGTGAAGTACTTATAATATTTTGAATTAAATCAAAGAGGGAAATAAAATCTAAAAAATCCAAACGCACTCACTAATTAAATAGCAGTGCCTTTACTTCCATTCATGCGATCTTGATAAATTACAGTCTTCCCAAACTAATTAGCTTCAGGTTTAATGGATTCCTCTCACCACCCCAAGCTATGTACCAAAACACAACATGCTCACTTTAACAAAAACAAGCCAATACTGAAACCGGCCGGTTTGATTCTGCCTCAGGAAAGCAGCGAACCCGCGCTGAAGCGGGAGCAGAGGAGCGGAGCTGGAGGAGCAGCCCTGGGGCGGTGGAGGGGCGCGGGGGGACGGCGAGCAGCTTGGCCGCAGCGGGAGACCCCGCTCCCGCACTCCTGGGAGGCGGTTCCTGGGAGGCTCTGTGTTTGCATGTTAAGGTGTTGTGTTGTATTGAATTAGACCGCTAAAGTAAGGTATTTCTGTTACTAAATCATCCGTATGCTTGCGGAGTTGATCAAGGTTATAAGAAAGTAAATTTGAGTGAAACCACTGTGGGAAAATAGGAGAGCTGTTTCCCAAGACGGTGTCAGAAAGCGACTGGCAGCCCCTGGTCCCGGGGGAGCGATGGGTCAATACACCCCCTGAGCCACCGGGAAAGGCTTGGGGTTGTGTTACAGCTTGAGTTTTGAATCTGAAATTATTCCAGGTAGATGTCCTTGTGATATTTGGAGTTCT